CTATCACCCAGATATACGTTGTCCCTATTGTGCCCAAGGACGCTATCAGAACTGTATGATGCCGCACTGTGATGAACGTCCTGCCGTGTTTTTGACATGTGGACAACATGTCCTCTGTCAGGACTGTTTTGATGGGATGGTTCGTGCTAGCCGTCCTGCAGAATGCTGTGCTGACGCAGCTCTCCTTGGGCATCCTTGTGAACATCCACATCATCCTCACCGTAGCTGTCCTATCTGCCGAGGTGGGGGCAGGTAAAGAAAAAAAGAAGAAAAGAAAAAGAGAAAAAAAGAAAAGAGAGAAAAAAAGAAAAAAAGAAAAAAGATACGTTGATCTGTGGGATGTGTTATTTGCTTTGTGACAATTGGATTATCTTTCTTTCCCTATCTTTCTTTCCCTGTCAGGTTTGGTTTCCTCCTCCCTTTCTTTACCTCTTTGCCTTTTGGCTGCGTGCAAGTGGGTCCTTGTGACACACGGGGATGGGGGCAGCCAGCGCTCAACCTGTCATCCACGTGGCTGGCCTTGTACGTAAGAGGTTATGAACAGGTGGAGCTTTCCTTACCTCTTCCCCCTCCCCCTTTTTTCCTTTTCCTTTTTTCTTTCCCCTTTTTTGCGCTCTGATTCACAATGTGACAATATATACACCTCGTTTGTTGTCTTCTTCTCTCTCTCTGCCTACGGTTTACCGGGCAGTTCTGTTTGTGACGATATATATATACACACGGGGGTGGGGGCAGCCGCCGCTCAACCTACATCCACGTGGGCGGCCTTGTACGCAAGAGGTTCTGAACAGGGGGAGTTATAAGGAAGAAGATAAAGAACTGAATTCAAATTTTCCTGTTTTTCTTTTTTTTGCATTTGCGCTCTGATATACATGTGATGATATATATGTCTACCCTCTGACACAACATGATTGTTGTGTAGTACTGATGAACACTTGATGATAGTGCAGTTCTGCCTGTGCGAGAGTGGCAGTGATGATGAGTTGATAGCTGGGATGGGGGGAAAAGTCATGCTGTGGTATTACAAAGCTGACACGTCTCACGAAAGCGACAGTTTAATTTGCGGCGCTCAACGTCTGTAATAGCACAGCTGGACTTTTTTCCCCCTTCGTCTCTGATATCAAGTCAAGTCGTCATAAGTACTACTTTTGCGCATGCAGAGCTGCACTGGTCCTTCTTGTTTGTGTAACTCTTTTCATTCCGAAACACACACACACACACACACACACACACACACACACACACACACACACGCACAGAGTCGAGCTCAACAGGGTCTTCTTTCCCCGCCGATTCTTCCAAGCCCCCGTTCCCTTGGCTATGATTTCGCAGGATGGTAGGATAGGGAGAGTGGGAATCTCCTTAATACATTCATTTTGTAGTATGATGATGCTAAGACTTTGAGAAGTTAAGAGAGGAAGAAACAGGACAGGGAATTGTTGGAGACTGATGATTATTTGTTCTCATATCGGTGAAGTTGATTTTACCATTTTCACTGATACAGTGAGATGTGTACGTGCTGTGATCTAATGCCAAGATTCTCTGCTTTGCACTCGATTCGAGGTTAGAACAGTCGTGCGTTTTGCTGCTGGGGGAATGTGGTATGGTGGGCTTTTGCTTACTATTGGGCTGATGTGGGGATCGGTCGATCGACTGTGTCAGAGAATTTACTGAAGCAGAGCTGAAGCAGATCGAAGAAGAAACAGCGAAGAGACTCGAGGAGACGGTGCAGAAACAGGTTGAGGCTGCGCTCAACTCTGAGGAGATGAAGCAAAAAATCCAGGAAATGATTGATGAAGGCCAAAAAAGAATAGTGGACGAGGTCAATAAACGGCTGGAGGAAGAGAAGCAACAACTGCTCGAGGAAGCCCGGCGGAAGGAGGTGACTCTTTATATCGTGCCCTTACAATTCACTTAGAACCTTTGTGGAAAATGGACTCGTGTCGTGTGTTCTTTTCTGAGCTTGCCACTCTTTCGTGAAGCCTTTTGACCCTTTGGTTACCACTGGCACTTTCTCTCTATGTGAGGCCTGCCTCAGAAGAATGATGAACCTATTGCAAATGGGCTATGATCGTGCTACTCTCTCTCTCTCTCTCTCTCTCTCTCTCTCTCTCTCTCTAGCTGGTGGCGGTTGGATGAATGGATGTCCTTTTGAGTGGGCTGGATTGCGTGACAGTGGCTTGTATCTGCTGGTTGGTAGCTTGGCACCAAGGACTAGAGGTGTGACCTCGCGGCTGCTGGGCTTCGTTCGTATGGTCCTAACAGTACAGAAAAAGCGGAAGGGGGGGGGGGGGGGGGACCATGAAACCATGCAGTCAATGTCTGTGAATTTGTGAAATAATGTGCTGCACCCTCATCAGGCTTGGTAAAATGGTTCCGGTTTCTTTCTTTTTTTCTTCCGCTCAGGCTCGTTTTTTCGCAGAAGAAAATGTGAGAGAACGTGGAGTCACCATATATCTGAATTCAGGCCAGTTTTTTCTTTTGCTAGATGCTAGATATAGATATGACAATTTCACGTTCCGTTTGGGCTGAGAGAGTGGAATCAGATCACTGACGATGTGACGAGTGTGGTAGCTGATCGATTGGCATGATGGAGGTGGATGTTGAATGCTTTCGTGGTGCTGTTTTTCTTGCAAATCCAGGAAGAAGCGCGGAGGCAACAAGAGGAGCTTGATCGCATGCTAGAGGAGAACCGGAGGAGGGTGGAGGAAGCACAAAGGAAGGCAGCAGAAGAGCAAGCAATGAAGGAGGAAGAGAGATATAGAGAGCTGGAAACCTTGCAGAAACAGAAAGAGGAACTGTTGCGGAGGAGGAAAAAGGAGGAGGATCAAGAAAGAGCAGAGCAAATGAAAATCCTCGGGAAAAAGAACACGCGTCCTAAGCTGTCGTTTGGTTTTCAAGTGAAGTGATTTATCACAGAAAAGAGGTATATATTCCTGGGGGAAGCTTCTGAAAGTGCACCCCACCTGAATGTGCACCTCCTGGAAGGATCCTTCACCCTTCTTACCTCTCCTTCTCCTCCTCCTCCTCCTCCTCCTCCCACTCATTCCCTTCCCACTCTTCCCCGTTCACCGGACCTCGCAAACCCATGTGTATATTACTCACCATTCTCCGGTCTCTCTGTTGTTAGTTCCTTCTTTCTCTGGCAGGCATTGCAAAATGTTACCTTCTATGAAAGGCATGCACTCGCTGGCCCATGTGGTGTTTACAGTGAGCGTTCATTTCATGAAGTTGCCCTGTGATGAACGGGCAATAGTGCGGCATCTAGTCACATTTGTCGACGTGTATGATGTTATCTGTGGTCCCTTTTCAACGGTTTTTTGTTAACATTTGCTTGGGAGAGCTTTCATGATTCATCCGTTTAACTCCAGCCGGCAACCGATCAGAAAACATGGTGCTCTCTCTCTCTCTCTCTCTCTCTGTGTGTGTGTGCTGTTACCTGACAGTGGTGACGTTGTGGATCTGAAACCGGGCCTGCAAGCTCTTTATTTCAGTGTCTTCTTGCTGCTGGGTGATTGCTCCCTCTCGACTTTTGGAACATGTGGTTCGTGCACCGGAGAATCGTGTGTGAGCATGAAAATGGGAGGTTGAATCACTGTATTGTGCCCTTGCACTCTGGTTGAAGCACAATACAAAGCGTAAGAACTCCTCTTACCCTTCCCCTCCCTTCCCCCCCCCCCCCCCCCCCCCCCCCCTTTCCATTTTTCTTTTAGTAAATGGGTCTGTGCTTAACCAATGCTCGTTGGCGTATCTCTAGCTTCTGCTGAGCGAGTGACAGCTGAGTGAATCCATAGGCATCCCGTGACAGAAGTAGGACAATCCTTTGTGAATTCATTGTGAATGTTTCACACAGAAGAACAGGAATCTACCCCTCATCTAAACGGCGGCGATTCCAAGTCTCTGTCTTGTCCGGTCTTGATGTGACCCCAAAGATGACCCTGATCTAGGCAGGCAGGCAATTTGCACTGTTGGACCGATCAAGCATCAGAGAGAAAAGTCCTTGGGGACATGTGTTGAAATTCATACGATACAGAGAAGATTAGCATGACCCCTGCACAAGGATGACACACATAAGTGCCAGAAGTGGTCTAAAAATGTTATTAAAAAAAAAAAAATCAAAAAAAGGATCAGAGGGAAAGCTGCAGGATGAGGCCAGGATGTTGAATGCCAGTTCCTGTACTGTTTTTTTTTTTTTTTTTTTTTTTTGCTTTTTTTTTTCCGGATTCGCCGTTCTTCCTGAAAAAAAAAAGGCACTCCACTCAACAAGTGCTCAATTGCAGCTCTTGGTGAAATTTGACAACCAGCTAGCTGCAGAGCCCAGGTGGGATATCTTGAAGGAACCCCTTTTTTTTTTTTTTTTTAACAATCGAGGAGCATGCTGACATTGATACAAGTGCAAAAGATTATCTATCTTTTGGGCAATGTACTACTTAAAACCACTAGTACGTGTAACGTTTGGGAAAATAGGGAGCCTCGGGGTGGGGCTCCGATCTTTTAGGAGGGCCGAAATGAAACGAAACAACATAATGGCCGCCGATGAGATTTATCAACGGCGGCCGTCGTCGGGCCCAGCCCCCGACTTCTTAGGAGTTTGGGAAATCTGCCAGTTTTTCCGATTTTCTCTACCGTCAGCTCCGAATATGAATTGATTCCAGGACATGTGCCTTTAACAGTCGTACTGACACTGGAGATTCAGATAGTGTGGCTCCTATAGTTTTTTTGGGTCACTGTACTTCAGCACAGGTTTTAAAAGCTTAAAGCGACAGATAAGTTCTGTGCTATCGGAAAACCGGGTTCTAATCAGGCCCATGCAATTCAAAACTTAGAAGCTACAGGCTTCAGCATCACAGGTTTGTGCTGCTTTGAAGTTGCATGCATGGAGTCAGGAGGAACGTTGTTGATCGGGTAGAATGTCTGCAGGCCCTTTTGTTTTGCTTTAGAGAGGGTAGCCAGTAATATTATTATTGTTGTATTCGTCTGATTCGATCAGAATTCGAGCGCGTGACCTGTTTACCAACAGTTGCATGTGTGTATGATTAAGCCAGGTAGTTTTTTTTTTTGCAGGTCCCTTAGTCTGTCATTGGAAAAATTATTTATATCAAGCGGACTGCTTTTACGTGGAACAACAGTTTCTGGAGAGGAACTCGACATCGGTAGTTGATATCATAGTCATGAGGCAGCAGGCGCTGTTGTCGTCACGATTCAACAATTGGTGTATAATATAGTCTTTGGAGGTCAAGAAGGGTTCACACACTCCTCACTGCAAATGTCAATGCTACTTTGTTTGATAGTTTGTCGAATGTTTTGTTCTATGTGTAGGTTGCTTTACCTGTTGGCATTGGGAACGATAGCTCCTCTATTGCCATATATGCAGCAGAGGACCTCCATGACTGTACATAGTCTATGAGCTGCACTGAGCGTCGCAGGACTGTGTATGTGCCTGCACTGAGCGTCGCAAGACCGTGTACGTGGCTGCACTGAGCGTCACAGGACTGTGTATGTGGCTGCACTGAGCGTCGCAGGACTGTGGATGTGCCTGCAGTGAGTGTCGGAGGACTGTGTATGTGACTGTCATCTTCAGGACCACCGTGGCTGCACATAGTCTATGAGCAGCACCCAGCGTCGCAGGACTGGCGCTGAGCTGACCGTCGCAAGACTGTGAGCTGCGCTGAGTGTCGCATGACCGTGTATGTGCCTGCACTGGGTGTCACAGGACTGTGTATGTGCCTGCGGAGGACCACGGTCGTGGCTGCACGTAGTGTATGTACAGCATTGAGCGTCGCAGGACTGTCTATGTGCCTTGGTAGCAAAATTGAATGGTCACTGGCTGTGACTGGCAGGGTAAAACTTGAGTCGAATTTGCGACCTATTCGTAATGTTAGCGTCCATGCACTCCAGTTGCCCAGCACATTGATCTTAGCCGTTGCGTATGAGACCCACAGATGCTTCTACAAGAAGGAAGTATCAGGGGGTCTACGTTCCGGATTTGTCTAATCGTCGTACGTAAGGCACACATGCAGGCATGTGTGTATGTATCTGTATCTCTGTATATGTGCAGGTATGTAGATAGTTCTTGGAGTAAACCATGTCTACCAGTCGGACCTTCACACCAGCGTCCAGATGGTCCTTATAACAAGGTTCAGAATGTGGATGTACGAGTACATCCGGATTACTAGTAGTATATTTTGGATTTTTCAAAATTGCAATCTTTCAAAAGAATCAAAACAAATCTGGAAAATTTGCAGCTGAATTTGAGTCTTTTTTCTGGGAAGAAAAACAACTAAAATAAAAATATTTTACAGGGGACTCCCCTTGTCCAAACCAGGTCCGCATGTCCGGATCTAGCCTGGACCACCCGGTGCCTGGTTTGTGGTGGTCATGGAGCAAACATGTGATCTCACGCCGACTCACGGGCTGTCATATTCGAACACCTGTAAAAAACTTGGCACTTCCTGCAGTTCGGCCGGTAGGTTACGTGGGCCTGTAGGCTACGTAGAGCTAGTTTTGCAGCTAGTTTTTTTGCTGTTCTAGACGATATGTCAAGCATGCAGCTGTGCACTTGTCCTTCCTCGTGGAAGTACGATGAGTGGTTGTCTGCTTATGTGATGGTTCTATGCGTCGACTCTGACGACAGAATGGGATTGATGAAAACTGCAATGTTTTAGGTCGAGGGGGTGGGAGACGAGGCCTTGAACGGGTACCGATCGAGTGTGATGGCCTTCACATGTTCTGTTGTTTGTTGCAGCCATCCCACCTACTTCTGAACACTGGAGTAATTAGCTATTCGACTTCGAGGAAAGCAGAAGGCAGAAGGTGTAAGGGGAGGGAAATAATGGGACTAGCTCGAGGAAAGAGCAGCCCGCCACCAGCTGACGCCCCCAAATGGGGCAAGAACTAAATACATGTTGACGCAGTTATCTTTTGGGTGCTACTAGAGAATTGAGCCCAGTGATTTGGATCACGGGGGGGTAATTTGGGACCTTCCAAACTGTATGGGCCCAATGATCTTTTTTTTTTTTTTTTCCCCCCGTACTTGTTCTGTCTTTCACATTTTCCTGTCTTGTTTTGTTCGCAGTTTTTTGCTGCTCTTCTTTCCTTCAAACTGATCGGTGACGCCCAGCCTCCTCCATGGATTCCAATGGACTGTCTGTCCCCCCCAAGACATTTGCTTCAGTTTGGAAGCAGCAGATAACCCTCCCGTCTTCACCCGAATAGAACGCCCGGTCATTATAGCCGTATTTGGTGCAATTTTCAGTCTACATACAGCGATAATGACCGGGCGTTCTTTTCGGGTGAAGACGGTAGTGCAGTAGGCAGATTTGCATCATCACACCTAAAACCCCAAGAATCGGTGGCTTGATCTCCAGAGCCTCGCTCCACTACACAGCACTCTATAAGTAGCTGGACCTCACAATCTTCCCGATACATTCAACATTGTTGGACTCCGACGAATGAACCTCGTCCGCAAATGCATCCAAATGCATGTACAATGTAGAGTAGTGGAGCGAGGCCCTTAATTAGCCGTGCCCTCAATTCTTCTTTCCTAATGAAGACACAGGCGGCCATAGATAACAATCAATCACACCAGCCTAGCGAGTGAAAGCTGCTTTGGTTTTCCCGATGTAGTGCCGAGACAGCATAATAAGACGAATGCAACAAGAAACCAGCAGTGTTAACCTGAAACACTTGCGCGTTCTTTTTGAACTCCTTGTAACGGAAGAGCGCCGTTGCGTGTGGTGGAAGATGATAACAGGCTAGAAGTAGCAGCAGAGTTACTTTCAGACACACGCTCACTCTTTTCGAACTCCACGGAGGGATGGAGCACAGTTGCCTCTGGTGGAAGATGATAGCAGGCTAGATGTAGAAGCCGCACGTGGCAAACCATGGCGATGTCTTTTTGGTGACAGGGGAAGTCCGTGTTGAATGGCTGGAGGGCCGGAACGACATCAAGAAGCAGACCTGGGCGGCCCATACGGCTCTGTGAGAAATAGCACTATCACCCGGAACTGACGTCCTCTTCTCCTTCTTAGGAAACTGTGCATTATATGGCACGATTGCATCAGACGAGGCTGCAACTCTAGCCACGTGGAAATGCTATGTGATAGCACGTAGGCAGTGGGCAGAACGATGTGACTGTTATATCAAGGGGTGGCTGTTGGCTGTCACTGCCAGATGGCTTGCCCCAACGTTTAGCAAGGTCAACTAGGGGATGTGCGTGTGGGTTTCTTTGTCCTTGCCCTGACCTATGCTTGTGGAAAGCTCGACTTTTCTCTTGGTGTAAGGCTCTCCTGGGGATAGGAAACTTGTATAGTTTAGACGACTCCCTGATCTTGTTTCCACGACTACTGTCTTCACCCGAATAGAACGCCCAGTCATTATAGCTGTATTTGGCACACCTTTCGATCCAGATGCGGGCGAAGACGGTAGTAAGTTGAGAAGTTTTTCATGGCATAAGGAAGGTGGTACTGATTGCGTTGAGGTGTGTTGCAAGGGGAGGTGACCCTCATTTGCGGTTGTTATGTGGCATAAAGGCATTTGAGAGAGAGTGGCGTTGATTCCTATAGCCTTTCTGTCCTTTAGCATGGATGTTGGTCCTGCTGTCCTGCTTTCTCTCCGTCTTGGCCTACATTTTGGTGACCTGACAACGTTCTGAGCTGCAGCGTTGCCGTCCGTCTCACGCGTAAGGGCGTTGGGAAGTGCCGACATTGATTCCGATAACCACCTGTCTGCTCTTGAGCACGGATGCCGGTCCTGCTGTTCTGCTCTCTCTGCGGCTCGGCCTGCCTTTTGGTGACCTGACAATGCCCTGAACTGTAGCGTTGCCGTCTGTCGTATGCGTCCTTTCGAATGTGACATCGCCCCTTCACGAGCAAAAAATGCATCTGCAAATCCAGGTCTTGGCAGGGTTGTCGGACATGTAGAGCGTGATTTTATGCCGTCCACTTCTATCAGGAAGAAATACCGAAAGGGAAGAGGAAATGTAGGGACGAAAAGGGCAAATCAGGTATAGGAGTAAAAGGTAGCATGCACAGCGAAACCTGCTGAAACTCTGTGGTGTGTACTATGTCACCCACTTGGCAATCAATCAGTCTTATTAATTAATAATTTCTGTAAAATGTTTAACTGGCCGGAAAGAAAAGAAAGTTGGAAAAACAGTAGTTCGAAACACGAAGACGAACTGGCAAGTTTCGAGCTTTTCCAACGTTTGAACATAAAAAAAATTAAAAAAATCTGAAAAATGCACGCTGATGTAACGGTGACTGCTAAAGAAAGGGTGGGAAAGCAAGGCGCTTGGGCTCTTTTTTTTGTTTGTGATGCTTCTGTCAAGCATGCCCCTCTTTTGATTTATGTATGCTTTTGGGGCGCGTGTTCGTTTTGAAAGGTTGGAAATTATTCAATGCTGTTTCTGTGCAATTTTTTGATCTTTTCTTGGTCATGGTTTCTGCATGAGGATCGTCGATAACTGCTTCAAGAAAAGGAGGAAGGATTTCAAAGAATGAAAGAATTGTAAGAAAGATACTGCTGCTAGTCGTCGCGGCTTGCTTGCAGGCAAGTGCGTGAGATAGCACTCTACGCCGTTCCGATGGAGGTAACGATGTCCATTTTTCTCCCCGCCCGCCACCTTTAAGCCGGCAGCAAGTGACCCTTTAAAAATTAAAAGTGAATGTTGGCACCACAATTGCCAGTTTGATGTGTCCTCAGAGAGCGAGTTCGGAGCAGTGTTATCAGCCAGAGGTGAAACAAGACATCAAAGAACCATGTCGCGGTATCAGGTGTGTTTGTGTCCCATAACTTCCATTGTTACAATCACCAAAGTCAAACCGCAAACCTCTCGGATATAACCAAGGTTAAATAAGGTGTGTGTGTTCCACTCCAGTTACCGAGGCTATACCGCAACACCATTTTGAGAACCAATGGTTAAAAAAAAGTTAGAAAACGAACAAACGGTTATCGTATATGACCTGCCTATCGCTTGCCAGTGGGAATAAAAAAAGCAACAGTTATTATCCTCTCATGGGTCTGAAGACTCTCAACTGGTATCGCGGTTTTTTCCTTTTTTTTTTTTTTTTTTTTTTTTTTTTTCCCTTTTTTTTTTTTTTTTTTTTTTTTTTTTTTTTTTTTTCTCCCTAATATGTCTTTTTCCCTCTTGTATGTTTTCTTTATTTTTAATATTTATTTATTTTCTCTCCTTTCGGTAGGCTGAAGCATTAACTTGGGCCAAGTTACGTCAAGGTAACGTGCATTCATATACCCAGGTAGGTGTTCGTACACACGAGTGCGTACCTAGATAACCTCATGTTACCTCTTTGTGTTGTCCACGACCCGTCTCCACTATCCCCCCTCCCCTCCTCTCCCCCCCTCTCTCCCCTTTAGCTTTATAACCAGGTATATGCTGACACAGGGGGTATGGGTAATCATTTGCAGGAGGTACGGGTAAAATTTACCATGTGGGTTTATGCATGATTTACCCACCATCATGGTAATTTGCAGAAGGTAGGGGTGATTTACCCCGGTGGGGCCAATGTGCATGCAGAGGTATGGGTGCTTCATAGAAGGTACGTAACCTTACGTTAAAAGTTACCTGCACCTGCATAGAGTGGTAATTATGGGGCAAATACATAAGATATACACCAGACTGTGGAAAAAGTGAAAACCTCCCAACGGCAAATCTGCACAGCGGAAAAGAAAAACAGACCGATAGAAATAGTGATAGTGAGGTCACTATTTGACAGGTTGTGCACCGTCTCTCTCTTTCAAAATGGCAGCACAAAGAAAACCATTCCTGTCTGTCACCACAAAAAAAAACTAGCTGTATCTAGATTCTAGACCAAAGAAACTTGCTCCAAAGAAACGAGGTGGAATCTGCATGGGTGGGGGTTGGGAGGGGGCGGGGAACAGAGGGGGAGAGCGGGTGGCCCTGGGTTGGGCAGGGAAGAACAAGGGAAGGGGGAAGCAGGCAGTAGTGAAACGAGTAAAATACCTGAGGTACTGAATGTTGACATGCCTTGATCTGCATAGAACTGAAACCAAGTCTGAATTCACAACGATAGAAACTTGGTCGTTTCTTCATGGAATTGTCGTCATCACGTGCGAGAAAGGAATGCTGGCTTAGGAATGACTGGGGAAGCAGAGTAAAAACGAAATGGAAACAATCCTACGCCGTATAGACTGGCGCTCGGCTTCTTTTTGCATTTATTTTTTCTTGATGGTGATGCGACATGGGAAACAGGCAGGGTAAGCGGCGCGTCTGTAAGCAGTGCTTATGCTGTCCACCTACCCACCCAACCCCCTTGTTGCACTTGTGCTCAATGTTAAAGCTTGTTAAGTTGTCACTTACTTTTGTTGTTGCTTCAATATGACCCCCATTTTTGACTTTTAATGGGACGATTGGAAGGGGTTGATTTCCTGCAGGGAATGCCGGAAAGAAATGAAGCCCCCCAATGCTCTTGCCTGGCTGTTTCTTCTGCTTTTTTTTTTTTTTTTTTTTTTAAATCGGAGAGCTGACTCGTTCATTGATGTCGTCCAGGATGTGGAGGCGCCATGGTTGATATACTTTGCATGCTTCAGCTGCCACAAACATAGATCCCATGGGGAGTTCACAGGCCACTGCCTTTTTCTCGCGCTTTCTGGCATCGCCTTTATTTCAGGGAGATTGCTGTTTGGCAGGCGAGCTCGAAATCCTCTGCGTCAGGGCGATGACTGTTCGGTAGACGAGTTCGGAAAAATCCTCAGCGGTTGCTATAGGGTGTGTCAGGCTGTCAGCATGGGGCCTCCGATCCTGG